TTAGATCAAAAGGGTGCTTCTACTAAATACTGAGCAAAGGGTCTGAATACTTAGGACCATGTGATATTTCAGTTTTTCTTTTTTAATAAATCTGCAAAAATGTCAACGATTCTGTGTTTTTCTGTCAATATGGGGTGCTGTGTGTACATTAATGAGGAAAAAAAATTAACTTAAATGATTTTAACAAATGGCTGCAATATAACAAAGAGTGAAAAATTTAAGGGGGTCTGAATACTTTCCGTACCCACTGTATATATATACACACACATATATACACACACATATTAGGGCTGGGGATTTAACGCGTTAATTAGATTAATTAATTACGGTGAAAAATAACGGGTTGAAATTATTAACGCACTTAACGTACTTGCCCTTCCTCAGACCTATATGTGGGTCATCTGACATTTCATACAGTTGATTGATGACAAATATGATGCAGGGTAACAACTCTGCAACTAGTCAGAATGTCCCCAAAATTCAAGATATGGGGCAAAAATGCCCGTTTGAGTTTTTGTCTCATATTTACATCATATATTTAAGCAATATCACACGAGTGCAAATGTGATACTGATCCTATACAACAGTTCAATAAATAAAAAGTTAACATTATGCTATTTTAGACACAATGTCTGTTTTGCTCAATTTTGCCAACGAAAATATAAAGACAAAGCAGAATTGTTCGTCTCCGAGAGACACGCAGCTGCATTTCATTTCTTAATCCAAGTTTTGAACTAATTGGGTAAACCATTAGGCTCGTTGGATTTGAAGCGGCGCTGCACAGACCAATCGGTTTATGACATCAAAGTACCGCGAGAGCGATTCAAAAGCATAAGGAGTCGTCTCTTGCAGTACTTTGATGTCACACACCGATCGATCTGATGGTGATGATGATTCAAGTAGAACAAGCCTAATGATTCAATGGACAATTCATAAAGAACCATTTACTTCACTCCTGAATGAATCAGCCATTTGAACGAATCAAATGAATGAATGACTCAATGATTAAGCCATGTACCGCCACCTGCTGGCAGTTTTAGTTTATTATTTAGAGTATCATTTCATTAAAGAAATAATTTCATATTTCCATAGTAATAATAATACAATTTATAAAATAAACTATTAAAGGTACAGTTCACCCACCCAAAAATGACAATATTGTCATAATTTACTCACCCTCATGGTCCAAAAGAGTATATGTTATAAATGTTATGTTGAATCAAACACAATATTTCTTGCTGAAGCTACTTTTTGTAATGTCTGTTTGATGCTTCACAACAATGACTTTAAATTATCTTTTGGGAGTAATTTCTCAGCCAAATTTGATGTCTGATTAATTTGCAATTAATTAGATTAATTAATCTCCACATCATGTAATTAATTAGATTAAAAGTCGCTTACCAGCCCTAATACTGTAATTAAAATCACTTCGTTCACCACACAACAAACAAGCAAAACAAACAAAAAAACAAGCATGCAACAAAAAAGAAAAATGTTCACACAACATGACAAACATACAATCAAACAAAAAAGCAAGCAACAAGTAAAACAAAGCAAAACAACCAAAAAGTAAAAAAGCAAACCGTAATCAATTAAACAACAAATAAAAAGACAATTTGAAATAAATGTTGACACAACATGACAAACAAAAAAATTTAAAAAATCAAGCAAGCAAAAAGTAAAACAAAGCAAAAGAATATGCAAAACAACAAAAAGCAATTTGTTTAAGTGAGTTTTGTTGTTGATTGCTTTTTGTATAAACAAAAAATAATAAAAAAAAAAATTGTGAATAAATGTTATGTTCATGACAAAATCTTGGCTGCCCAGCTAAATTCAACTATACAAGAAAAAATGTCCTTGGTAGAATTATATGTCATGCCAGCTGCCCATATTTACTAATATATCCTATTTTAACATGATTATCAAAAGATTATATGGCTATTATAGAAAATAAACATGCTTATTTCTTGTGCTGTTGCAATGCAGCAGACTGCACAACTCAATTTAACGCAGAGGCAAATTATCTGTTTAAATTGAATTGGCTGCTCTGTGCTGAGGTGGGTCTGCTGCTGCTGCTGCTGTATTGTGAGAGATGGGAATGGACGATCATATTTCTCTGCAGAGGGGAAGCTCTTGGGGGAAGAGCTTCACTTTCTGCTGTCTAATGCTGAGGTGGATAGCGGCTGTGGAAAGACCTGAATGGGCCGGCCATTACATTAACGTTATGCCACAGAAACCTCAGGGAACTTTGTGATTCCACTTCAGAAAATCACTAACAGGCTTTTATTGCCACCCTGCTCATGCTGTTAAAAGCTACAGCAGGATTTGTTGCTTAAGGTGCTTGAAGGACCATAAAGTAGTCATTTACTGTACAGTGCAATGGTGACACTGAAGCTGTCCTTGTCTTACATTGGTTCAGGTAGATCCATCCATCCAAATTAAAAGAAGAGTACAAGATGGAGGAGGACGGAGAAGAAGGCCAGATTGACTTTTTCAAAGATGATACCATTGATGAATGAATCGCTTCATTTTCGTGAATGAAACAAGCCTTTTAAAGGACAGCTGGTTCAATATGTTTTAAGTTCCAAGGTTAGACTGAACACTGAAAAATTGTTGATTTTTTGTGTGTCCTTTGCTGAATGACAATCAGGTACACGACAGCTTGACACATTAGGAATAAACAGCAGTGCGAATTAATGAGATTGCTTGTAAAACCATTCTTATGTAATTTGTTGCATGAATTACAGAGCCCCTAAGAGGACATAGCGAAAAAATTACTAGATGCGAGGAAATGCTTCTGCATTCTCTCACAACACATTTGCATTCTCTTGCAAAAGTATTGCGTTCTCCTGAGAAACGTTGTTTTCTCGCAAAATATTTGCATTCTCTCGCAAAAGAGTTGCGTTCTCCTTTATTGTTCCCCGAAGAAATGTTGCACTCTCTCATACAAGCACTGCGTTCTCCTGAGAAACTTTGCGTTTTCTCACAAAATACTAGTGTTCTCCCAAATGTTTTGCATTCCCCCAAGTAATGTTGTGTTGTTGTATGATAATAGTGTTTTTGACAGAAATGTGGCGTTCTCCCACAAAAATTTGTGTTTCTCCAAAAGTACTGCATTACCCTGAAAAACTTTGTTCTCTCACAAAAGTATTGTTCTCCTAAGAAACTTTGCATTTTCTCGCAAGAATGTATTGTGCTCCCCCAAGTAACTTTGCATTCTCTCACGAAAATAGATTAAAAAAAAGATATTCACCATTACTCACCACTCACCAGACACTCACCATGAAAAAGATACTCACCATTATCGAGCAAAAGTTTTGCATTATCCCAAAATTATTGCATTCCATCGAGAAACTGTTCTCTTACAAAACATTGGCGTTTTCTCTGGCAAAAGTATCGTGTTACCTCAAGAAACATTGCATTCTCTAGCGAAAGTATTATGTTCTCCCAACAAACTTTGTTCTCTCGCAAAATATTTGCATTCTGTCTCAAAAGTATTGCGCTTTCCCAAGAAACGTTGCATTCTCTCACCAAAGTATTGCATTCACCTGAGAAACTTTGCATTTTCTCGCACTCCCTCAAGTAATGTTGCATTCTCTAATGAAACTTTGCATTTTCTCAGAAAAAATTTTACTAAAAATAGTTCTTCCAAAAGTATTGCATTCTTCCAAGAAATGTTGCGTTCTCTCAACAAAATATTGTTTCCCCAAAAAACTTGGCGTTCTCTTGCAAAAGTTTTGCCTTCCCCCAAGAAACTTTGTTCTCTCACAAACCATTTGCATTTTCTCGCAAAAGTAATATGTTCTCCCATGAAACGTTGCATTCTCTTTGATCTCCATTTGAGAAACTTTGATCTCTTCCAAAAGTAATGCATTCTCCCAAAACTTTACATTCTTTTGCCGTTTTTTTTTACCAACAATTTTATTTTAAGTTCAACCAGTCCTTGCATTATTCGCAAAAGTTTGCCATCTTGTCTTATTTGCGCAATGTTTGAATTCTATATGTTTACATCCTTTATAAATACACACCATACTTCATCAAAATTTTATCAAACAAACAAAATTATTAAATAAACTAACTATTGATTGTTTTTTGCTACCGTCTAAACATTTGAATGATTATTGCATATTTACTTATTGCACATTAAAATATTTACAGGTAACTGTACTCCTATGGTCACAAACACTTATTATATAACTACACCATGATGATTATTAGTAGATTTTCATGGCAAAACAACACAAAAAAATACTGCAAATAGCACTGGAATTGTTTAGAATAGCTGTTGAAAAATCTGTTATTTTGGACTGAAATAATCAGAAAAAAAGTCACGTGAAGTCCTACATGGACTACCACACTCATTAAGCTCTGCAGAAGCAGATAAAGAACGTTTTATTTGTGTGAGCTTACATTATACTGAGATATTTAAATTTCAAAAGATCAAATGTTAACTTTGGCAGGATTTCTCAAGTTGTAAGTTGACCAAATCATTTTAACGGTTCATGAGGCAGCAGACAGCATATTGCTGTCCATCAGTGGCAGAGTTTGACTCTAGTCATGGTACGATGGAGAGGCTGGTTGTGGTTTGCTGAACCTGTGTGGGAAGCTGTACTCACCGCTGTGCTGGCAGCTGCCTGCTTGGACTCCTCCGTCAGGAAAGTTAGCATCTGTTCTACCTTCTGCTCTTCCTCCGTGCTGATGTAGTCCGTATCTACGCAAAACAAACACAAATGTCAGACTTTACACACCGTACTGACACATGGTACATTTGAGGAATTGCTCATTGGTGAGTTTTCCACAATGCAGATGCAAACAGCATGACTAAACATAGACCCGATTTCCAGCGTCAGTGCAGAATGCCATTTTTAGCTGGCAGTAGTCATCCATATGCATCCTTCCGGCGATCCATGCATTTATACAAAATATAAATTAACACATAACATGTTTTGACAGAAAACTATTTTTTTTACATTTTAAAATGTCAAAACAATTAAAAAGCAGCGTTTTTATCCCATGTGTTCAAAAAATGTTCACTATATATTTGCAAGCAACATATAAATGTCATAAAGAAGTGACTTTTTAAATGCGCATCTAGGAAAATGTTTCCAATGTAGTTTCTTAGTCTTTTTAAAGAATACAAACATTTATTCACATCAAGAAAGTTTTATTCAGTAACATGTTTATTTGCATCAGCGTTTTACATGCAATAACCTAAGATTTGCATAAAAATACACTGAAAATGATTGAACTAGATTTATTTTACAATTGTTTTTTTTTTTGTAATTTGTTACATACGTGTGTGTGTGTAATTATTAATTTATTCTAAAATGCATTTTACTATATATTACCCTTTTTTACTAATTCTCCCATTTATATTAATCAACTTTTAATTAAAAAAAATTTCAAAAATGTCTTTTTGTCTCAAAATGTAAAAAAACCTGAGCTCCTGAAATAACATTATAATCAGAACACTATTACAATATAATATTTTATAGCAGTGATGGTTTAGTTTTTTTTTTATATATATTTACATGCAAAATATAAATTAGAATTCCAAAGCAATGTGGCATTTTTTTATGGGCATATGTGACCCTGGATCACAAAACCAGTCATAAGTAACACAGGTATATCAATAGCCAACAATACATTGTATGGGTCAAAATTATCAGTTTTTCTTTTATGCCAAAATTCATGATATTAAGTAAAGATCCATGTTCCATGAAGATATTTTGTAAATTTCCTACTGTAAATACATCAAAACTGAATTTTTGATTAGTAATATGCATTGCTAAGAACTTAATTTGGACAACTTTAAAGGAGATTTTCACAATATTTAGAATGTTTTGCACCCTCAGATTCCAGATATTCAAATAGTTGTATCTCAGCCAAATATTGTCCAATCCTAACAAACCATACATCAAGTGAAAGCTTATTTATTCAGCCTTCGGATGATGTGTAGATCTCAATTTGACCCTTGTGACTGGTTTTGTGGTCCAGGGTCACATATAGGAATTTATTCAATAAATATGTTTCCATTGCAGTTTTGAAGTCTTTTTAGAGAATGATTACCCATTTAAAGCAATTTTAATGCACATTTGTATAATAAAATAATTATTTTATAATAAAAAGATCAGAAATTATGCACTTCACTCATATGCATGTAAAAGGAGGCAGCAGTTACGACATTCAAAGTCCCCTTCAGCAGCTATGACTGGCACAATCAAAAAAGATCTATGCCAAAGAAAAGACTTTCTAATTGCATTTACGCCATTTTTCCATCCATCACTCATTGGGTTTAATTGCTGGAGGGGAACGGTGTGAAAGACCCTCCCTCCATCACCCTCCACCCATTAGCCAGGCTCATCATAAATGCATCGGGATCAGCTTGATAATTTTAGACTCTCGTTGCGAGCGCCACAGGTCTGTGAGGCTCGTTTTTCCTTCAGCCTTTACTTTCCCCGCAGCAATTTCATGCTCGTCTAGTCTGCAACTGCCAAAATTGGTCCTGACATTGCCAATCATCGCTGCTCCGTCCAATGTTTTGGACTGATGAACAGCGTTGACAGCCGGCATCTTAATTGCGAGTGGAAGACGAAGTGGAAAAGCACTACGTTACGGCATCTGATGCCACAGTTCTGATGTTAAAATGTAGGTAGAATCACACAGCAGGTGGAAACAAGGTGGCAAGGTTTGGCTGGTTTGCATGCTTCAGTTAACAACTGCTGACAGATGTCACACTTACATGCTTTCTAGCTCTTTCTCTACTGACAGACATTCAAATGAAGTATATTCTGAATATTTTATTATATTATGTTTTACAGTGACCGATTTTTATATAGTTTTTTAATGGTTATAATTTAACAAAAATATTTATATATAATACAATGTCATGTATATATATATATATATATATATAGCTAGGCAATTCAGTCAAAAGTACAAAGGCAGCGCTATATACAGCATTGAAGTTACATAAAATAATGTGCTGAGATTTTGCCCTCAGCAAAATCTATTTGCTCTGGAACAAATAATAGATTAATGAGACCAAAGACTGCCCGTTAGATTTACCCAAAACAAAATATATCTCATGTTTAACCACTATAGAGACACCAGAGCCAGCGGTAAATTCCAGAAGATCTGGCCGAGGTAAGGCTGCTCTCGGCGGGTTCATGAGCGCTGAACGGCCGCTGACGTCCTGGAGCTCACATCTCTGAAAACGTCAAAGCAAATTTTCAAATAGACGTTATCTTTATTAAAGGGTTAGTTCACCCAAAAATGAAAATTAACTTGTGTTTTACTCACCCTCGAGGACCAGTCTCCTCTTGGTTTATATCGAAATCCTCCGACATTTTTCTCTTTGCAAATCTTCGGTTTGTACTTCTAATTCGTGACTGGTGTTTTGTTTTGTTCTCTCTTCGCATTCGTCACCATTCACGCAACGCCGACGTCTTACGTCATCCGCCGGAATGGCTTTCGCGTATGACAGATACCAGAAGTGAGAGAAAAGTGTTTATTACATTTGAAATATGGATATTTTTCTTACAAAAACACATGGATTCGCTACAGGAGGCCTTTATTCATCCCCCGGAGCCGTGTCAGGCATATTTTATTATGGATGTGCGCGCTTTATTTGACGACTTGTGGACTGTTCAACTGCAACACCCGCTGACTGCAATGATAGAACTTGGAATAGCCAGGACAATTTTTAATATAACTCAGACTGGATTCGTCTGAAAGAAGAAAGTCATATACACCTAGGATGCCTCGAGGGTGAGTAAAACACAAGCTAATTTTCATTTTTGGGTGAACTAACCCTTTAACAAACCGCATATTTGAAGTCCAAACAAGTATATTCTCGCCTAACATGCTCTTAAAACTACATTCCGTGACACAAAACAGTATTATTTTTCAATTATAGTGGATTTGGGCATCCGCCATGACACTCGCTGTGAGAAATACAGCAACTTTGGCAAGTGGCGTGATACAAAAGGTGAAATGGCTGTTAGAGTTCTGTTGAACTCTAATATCAACAATCTTATCAGCCAATCAAATTCGAGGACCAGAAGGAACAGTTGTGTGTAGAGATACAGTTCACGCTAATTTAAAAAGGTATCAGCTTTTAACAGCTTTTGTCGTTGTTGTGAAAACCTAAAATAATAATACAAACAGAACACTATTATAATACAATATTATGAATATTATGCTTTAGCTATTCATTATTCATGTTTTCATACAGTAACATGATGACTAGCATGTAAATTGCAAGTTGTCAGGCTGCTAGCAAAGCACTTGAGTTTAGCGGCATTCATTCACTGTTCAGCTTCATCTCACGTCGCTCAAGCAGAACAAGAGAGTCAGATTTTTCTTAATTGGCGAGATTTGAGTCCTCTGTGTTTGATGACGTCTAAAGCATGCGCTCAATTCACGGCACCCATCCAGAAGCTCTGGCAGATTGTTCTGATGACGGCCATCAAGTCTAGCACGTTTCCTTGGGTTAGTGAGTGTCTGGAAAGCCTCGCGATCAGCATCTGCTGCAGAGCACACGTTACACCTGCACATTATGAACGCTGCACTGATATTTACATGGAATATTTATAAGCTGTGTTAATAAAACTTTTGTCCTTTATCACTGGGAAACCCTTCCAGGTTTGAAAGCACCATCATTAACACAGATCAAAATGCATCAATCAACTGGCGAATCTCACACAAACTCAGCCTGCAGAACTTCAATCAATTGTTCATCCAAATATGAACATTCTGACATTATTTGCTCGCCCACATAGTACCCCAAGCCTACTCTTTAGAAATAAAAAAATACATAGATGAATAAAATAAATGGACAATGAGGCTATCAAATCCCACAAAATAATTTAAAAAGGGCTACTACAAATTTGTTTAGATTCAGTTTGATTATTTTTGAAATTTGTTTTAAATTAAATAACACATACAAAAATATTTTGAAGAAAATTAAGAAAGTTTTTTAATATTTAAATATTATTTAAAAATTTATAAATTATTATAATTTATCTATTTTTAGTATTTATTATAATTAATTTTAGATGTAATTTATGTATATTAAAAACATGAATAATTTATTATTATATAATTCCATTTTTATAGAAATCCGGAAGGGGGCCAACACTTTTTCACACCACTGTATATACAATATACATAAAGAGAATGTACTAAAAACAAAATTAATGTTAACTGGGGACCTACAAAAACTAAGTGGGATTAAAAATAAAATAAAAGGTGTGGTACTGATTCGTTATGAATCAGTTTGGTTCATATTTACAAGCTTTCGATTATACAGTTTGATCAGATTTACTGGGAGCATTTATAATGTCCATTTTGCTTACATATCAAATAAATTGTAATAAAATTTGACTATACATAATTATATAAAAATATTGTTTTGATTATATTAAATTATTTTAATAAATAATACAATATTGATTTTAATATTTTTATATTAGTTTTTAAAAACAAAGGAGTCGTTCTAACTTGGTACACTGCAAAATACAGTATTTTACAATTTTCAATTATGTCACATAATATTGGACACGTCACATTTTGATGCGCTTTATTTTAATTAAATGACATGCCACATTGTATTGTAGCTAACAAAACATACTGACAAATATTGTTTTTCTCATAGTATTCTATTGTAAGGCTCCAGCAGACTTGGAATATAGTGCATAAGTGTTATGG